ACACACACACACACACACACACACACACATGCACACACACACTCCGGAGCATTCTATATGCGCAATTCATAGACACTAAGTCTAATTGCTACAGCATGAACAGGGGGGAAAAATCAAATTAGCAAACATTAGAAATCCTTCCAGTGAAGCCATCAGCAATTTCAAATTGTTTCATCTGTTAGTTTTAAAAAGGAGAGTGAGAGAGCACTTAGCAAGTGGTTACCTCTCAGACCTGCCTGGAAAGTGCTCTTTGTTGTACTGCATTTGTAAACAAAATTATAAATAAAACCACTACAAATATTTGCCTTCCAGAAAACTTTAACTTCAAGCCTTAGAAACTACCTAAGTTGCTTCCATTCTGCCTGTGACCTGAGCCCACTAGGTGCCTTGCCAAGAAGGGAGGTGGGCCAGGAGGGCCCTTTGGTCCCTCTTCTGGTGGCTAAAGCCATTTCAGCATTGAATCGGTTTACATAACCCTGCACATAGCACTGAGTCAAACCAGCCTTAGAGCTTGCTGCACTGAATAGCTTAGAACAAGGAAGCACAACGAAATTCAGCCTGATGTCTCCTTCTCCTGCTTGTGACTCTGCTTGGTATAGGTGGGGAAACCGGACCCTAAGAGGCTGGGGCCTCCATCGAGGTAACCTAGCCATCGAGCCCCCCGAGCTGGTTCAAAATTGGGAGCACCGACCCAACTATCAGCCTGTGCTTTGTGCTTAACCCAGAAGCATGTTCCCGAATGTAGTAGGAACCACACACTAAACTAAAAGCAACTGCTCTGCTCCCAGACCTACTAGGACTTTCCAATGTCGACAAGACAGAGTTTAAAAGGAACACAGAATGCCAGCCCTCTGCCCCAAATCTTGAGACCACCTAGCATGTAGTCAGCACTCTGTTTTTTCCATTATTTTTGGTGTGCACACTGGCTTTTTCAGAGAGTACATTCTCCCCAAGAGATGCAGTGTCCTGTTTGTCTTTGTGCCCCCTTCCCACCACACAACGTAGATTCTCCACACAAAGACACTAAGCACATCATTTTCAAAACAGATAATGTGCCCCAAACACCCAGGCAGAGCAGGGATAGCAAAGACACTCTATAGATTGAAAATAGTCAAATAATCAACTGGATTTGATTAAACCGAAAGGGGAGGCAGGTGCCTACGTATGGAGAATTCCCAGGAAGGGGGTTCAAGACTATCAAACACTTTTCAGGAGCCCAACAAATCAGGGACTCTACTTCGTAGGACATTTTGTTGTCTTAATCAGAGGCTCCACACATCTCTCATCAACGCTGTGACTCCTAAGGGACCGGTACATGTGCCATCCCACAGGAAAAAGCTTAATCGGGCTAATTGAGTCACAATTCCAACCCAAATTAATTAGACTTTTAGAAAATTGCCAATATCCTTCAATATAACCTGGGCATCGGCTCTCCACAGCTTTTATGGAGTAATAAACATTCAAGTTCTAAAAGCTTTAAATTCTACCCAGAATCCCACAATAAAGATTCTTTTCTTCTCAAGGACGTTCATGTTACTGGGTTTCATTTTTGGGTTTTTTTTTTTTTTTTTCATACTAAGCAAAAATGAAAAAGCAGGACTTCAGACTCCAAAGAAGATCACAGAACTTCAAAGTTCAAAAAGCTTATTTCTGCAGTCACACTACAAAGAAGCCCAGTGGTGTCAATTTGTAACCCCTGAGCAGAATCCCCACCTCAGAAAAGGCTGAGAGCATTCCTGAAAATGAAAAGCATCCTGCCAGAAGCAGAACCAAGTGTCTTCAGATCTACAAATCACCGAATCGAGCAACTGCAATTAAGTCTCTCAGATCTGTACATCTTTCCACTGCCACAATATACATATATTTTAAGCATCCAATCACTAATTTCACCTCCATAAAACTCATCTATAATAGTGTCATATTAAAAATTGGCTACAAAATTCACAACTTTATCCTCAAGGCATATTTATTTTGCATTTCAGAAGGAAAAGTATCATTTTTAAAAACAATTCATCCTGTCCTTACAGCACATCTTTCAACAGAGAGTCCTGAAACACTCACTAACTCTCCACTTACTAAATTTCTCATATGCTGGTGACAGGTAGAAGCAAGTAATTCTAACCCCAGTGTAGAATGAGGAAAACACCTCAGGGACCTGAACTAAGTGAAACCAGTTGTGAGGCTGAAATGGAAATCGAACTTCAAGATGACCTTGAATGAAATCAAGCCAGAAAAGAAGATATTAATTGGTGGTGACGCTTGCTTAGCTCAATGTAACTCCAGAAAAATCACCAAAATCGCCTCATTGAAAAAGGAAAGCATTACTTTCAAATCCTAAATATTATCTATCATATATACACCATTGCTTTGGCAACTTCATTTTGTGAGTTTGCTATGTGGAGTGTGAGCGTATGTTACATATACCGTTTTCTTTTTCTTTTCTTTTTTTTTTCCATAATTTTATTGAGAAACAAATAACAATGAGACAGTTTCAAACCAAATTGATAGGACAGTTTCAATAATTCACACATTGCATACATTCTTCCTAGTGGGTAATTGCTGTAGAAGATGAGGACTTGATATCCTATTTACAAACACCATTAGAACAAATCCCTCTATTCATTAAGAGAATGTAAATATATATCTATCCTAACCACTTTGAATACACAGATACTAAACGGACATTCATCTGTAGCTCCTTTTTTTGTTAAATTCCATCATTTAAATATGATAGGTGTGTAAACTCAGCAAAATATTCTAAAAGAGTTCAGTAGTCCATAATAGTATGGGGTCTTCCACTTCACTGGCAATGTCAGAAATTGTTGACCTGAGGCCCCTATAGCTTAACATAA